GGAGAGACAAAGGGGGAAAGCGTGGAATTTCTCCTAAGGCAACTTGGGGAGGACAGAGGGGGTGGCCTTTGGAAAACTGTCATCTCCTGCTATTTTGTAACTGTGAAGGACATGTGTTATTGGAAAAAAACAGGAACTCTTGCCTGCCCTGTGCATTTTGAGTAAATTTGCATGGGAGTTTTTGCCTTTTGCTGTGTGTTTGCTATTTTTCGGTGTTGGTGAAAGGTGGTCTTGAACTTACACACTGCTTCAGAAGCAACATGGTGGGTGATGGAGGGGCTGCGGATTTTGGGACTCCCCAGAGCTGCATTTTGTGTCTGTTTCTTCCCCCTTTGAGAGAGTTCTATACGGTCCCTGTGGAAGGCTGAAGATGGTCCCCTGTGGAGGTCCATGGCTTCATCCCTTGGAACCCTGAAGGTGTCACTCTAGGGTAAAAACGACCAGCACGTGTGATTTAAATGAAAAGGCTGTCAATGGAGAGGTCATTGTGTATTATACAGTGTATCCAGCAGCTCCTGGGTACTAGGATGACTTTACCCAAGGCAGACTACTCTCTAGAGAAGAGATTTATGCAGCTCACTGTTCCGGAGGTTGGAAGTCCAAGTGGCATGGGACAAGCTTTGAGGGTTCCCTTCAGTCGCACTGTATCACGATGGGAGAGTGTGGATATGAGTGTGTCCGCGCACACGCGTGTGCATGTGTGCGTGTCTCCTCTGGTCTCTCTTCTTACAAAATCACCAGACTCAATGGTGGAGCTGTACCGCGAGATTTACCTGAACCTAATCACTCCCCAAAGGCTCCACCTCTAAACGTCACTCAGATTAAATCTCTGCCCTCCGAGTTACCATTACTTTAGACTCGGGGGATGAAGATCCTGTATGGAGGGCAAGCTACATTTAATCCCCAGCACGCAGCTCATGTAGCCTCAGTTGCTCCAGACTTTCAAATGAGAAGAGAGGCCACAGAGGAGGAAGTGTCCTCGAGGTGCTGGGAAAGGTAGATTCTCCCTCGGAGCCTCTGCAAGGAATGTAGTACTGCAAAACCTGGATTTTAGCCCATTCTCAGGAGAAACCGATCCAACAGGAGATGTAGGGAGAGAGAGACAGGGAGACAGATAGTGATCTATGCGTGGTGGGGTCGTTGAAAGAGCTGATGGTGTAGATTCCAGTCCAGGTCTGAAGTCCCGAGGACAGGAATGGCCAGGGCAGGGGAAGATGCTGTTCCAGCCCCAGGAGCCAGGCAGAGGGAGAGGCACCCAGCCTTCCTCTACCTCTCTGTCCCATGCAGGACCTCAGTGGGGAGGGCAATGATTAATCAGCTGTCTGGCATCCCGTGGCTCAGTCAATTAAAACATAAAAATAGCCAGGCCTGAGGGACCAGGCCTGTATTCCTAGGACTCTGGGAGGCTGAGGCAGGAGGATTGCAAGTTCCAGCCCAGCTTGGGCAATTTAGCCACTTAGTGAGATCATGTCTCAAAATAAAAAATTAAAAATGGGCCAGTAATGTAGCTCAGTGTGAAAGCCCTAGGTTCAGCTCTCAGTACTGAAAAAAAAATTCATCGTACCCCGAGAGACTCATTTTTGCCTTCTGACCCACAGAAATGTCAGACTGATGTTATTTAAAGCCACAGAGTATGTTGCAACAGCAATAGGGAAGGAATCCCACCCCTGACCTCTCTGAGTTCCAGGGTCCCCTTCAGGGAGGCTTTGCCATCATATTAGCCGTGTGGCCACCTTCATGCTCCTTTGTAAGATGAGTAGGAATGTGGTCATTTCTCCCCAACCCCTGCGTATGTCACTATGGCCATCAGTGAGGCAGTGCTGGAAGATACTTAGGGAATTATAAAACTGTACTGGACAGAAAAATATGTTCTTTTGACCCAGTATTTTTCCTAGTGCCTCTGTTACTCCTTGGCCGGAGACTTCTGCTCCTCTCAGATCCATTTCATTGGGCCACAAGTTTCCAGGGACCCCAACCCCCTCTGCCTCAAGCACTGACCACTTCTGCAAAATTTTCCAGAGTGAGTCCTGCATCATTAGCAGCGGGATTCCTAAGGATACTTGGTGCTTCTTTCCCACTATCATTTTCCTATTCCTTTTTATTAAACATATTTTAAAGTAGTCCATTTAATTTATTGTGAAATTAAAACATACACAAACACACACACTTTCCTAGGAGGAAGTTCACAAGTTCTATGTGGCTCCTGAATCGTTTCATCTCCTAGAACAAGGTCAGCTAATTCCTGTATCAGGACAGACAGGAAATAGAGTTGTCCCATGATGCCCCCCAGGCATTGGCTCTAGGGTATCTGGACTGGACTTAGTCCTGGACCATTGTTTGCAGATCTCTGTCCTAAAAAGAAAGCTCCCTAGAGCAGAGAAGGGTGCTTGTGTGAGAACTAAGCCTTCCTACATCCTAGAACACTTGTTGCACAAGGTGGGGCTAGGCCAGGCCAGAAAGGCAGGGCCAGACCCTGTCTTTACCTAACACTGTGGTCTTTCATTCACAACAGAGTTTTTACATTCTTTTTTTTTTTTTTTTAGAATATGGCATTGTATAGGCTCAGAGTGTAGCTCAGAGGTACAGTGCTTGCCTAGCATGCACAAGGCCCTGGGTTCAATCCTTAGCATCACACACACACACACACACACAAAAGCATTATATTATTTACCTTGATGACTGCATTTTTTGGTACTGCCCTAAACTTGTAGATATTGACTCCCACTGCCTTTCAAAATAATTTCAGACTTTGCTTTGATCTATTTGTACTCTTTTGTCTTTCTTTTGAGGGGTGTAACAGTTACATCACATAATACTTGGGGAAAGATTTTGTCTGGCTTCTCTCTCTTCTCTCTTAAAAATGGTACCATCCATCTAAACTATGTCAGTTGGTAAAACAGAGCAGTAAGGTGCTAAGCATTAGGATGCTAATTTAATAATAGGGCAAGTGGATCCTGGAAGTTTGGGTTGCTTCTTGGAAGGCCAGGGATTTCTGAACTGGTAGAAGCAAATATGGCTCATGTGTCTGGAGTCTTTGAAAGTCAGATGGGCCTGCAGGAAATTAAATATTAAACCCAACAAAAATAGGGCACTGAGTCTCATGAGAAGTTTAACACCTATTCCTACTGACCTTGTTTTTAAAAAAATTAATATGCTATATTTTAAGAATTTAAAAAATCTTTTTGACAAGGTCTCTCTACCTTGCCTGGCCTGGCTTTGAACTCCTGGCGTCAAGTGATCTTGCTTTAGCTTCTTTCTGAATAGTAGTTGGAATTACAGGTGTGTAACACCAAACGTAGCTATTTTTAAAAATAGTTTTAGATTTACAGAGCAACTGTGCATGTCCTACAGCGTTCCCCAACCCGCAGCTTCTCATATTATTAACAAATTAAACTAGTATGGTGCAGCATTGCAATCAATGAACCAGTTATTAGTAGTTAAAGTCTGTTGTTTACATTAGGATTCAATCTTAGTGTTGTATATAATAATTATTATTGTTCTTTTGTAGAACCTGGGATTGAAGCCAGGGCCTTCACGCTGAGCTGCATCTCCAGCCTGTGTTTTTGTTTGTTTTTTGAAGGTCTCTAAATTGCCCAAGCTGGCTTTGAACTTGTGACCCTCCTGCCTTACCCTTCCAGAGTGCTTGGACTGTAAACCTGTGCCATCCTGCTGGGCTTCTTTAGGTTTTTTTTTTTTTGGTACTGGAGATCAAACTCGGAACCTTGTGCTTATGAGGCAAGCAGCAGAACCACTGAGCTAAATCCCCGGCCCTTCTTTTGTTTTTTGAGAAGGGTCTTATTATGTTCCCTAGGCTGGTCTTGAACTGGTGAGTTTAAATAATCCTCCTGCCTCAGCCTCCATAGGGCTCGAATTATGGGAGGGGTGTGCCAGTACACCCAGCCATTCTGCGGTATCCACCACTGCAGTATCATACGGAGGAATTGCATCACCCTAGAGCCCTCCTGTGCGTGACCCACTTCACCCCCCCCCCCACACCCGTCAACTACTGATCTTCTCACTGTTACTACAATTCTGTCTTTTCCAGAAAACACCACCATGCGTGAGTCCTACGGCCTTTGAATTAGATTTTGAGTACTCCTTTTTGGAACTGTTAACGGAGTTTGTCACAAGCAGATTCTTGTATTCCCTTTCCTCCCCCCGCGCGCGCGCGCACGCGCACTCACTCACACACACACACACACACACACACACACACACAGAGCAGTGAGTACCGTGGAACCATGCCCTCCTCTTCCATACTAGTCCTTTACCTGTCAGAACGCGCTTGCTCCTTCCTGCTTTATTTCCTCGCTCTCTCCCCTCTCACAGGGCTGCACATTTGAGAAACTGCTAACATGGATTAAATAAAATCGTCTAATTTACCACCCACAGACCACTCAGCCAGCATTTCACACAGGGCTTCTGGTGATTATGTGATAAATGTAGGGGCCTCCTCCTCTCGGGGGTCCCAGGAGTCTTCCATAAGAGCCCCGACTCTTCATAGGCAACACCACCTTTGGGATTTGGGGGAGAGCGCCCAACAGGAAAGATGGATTCTGGGCTCGCCCTGCCAGAGTGACAGGAGACGGGGTCACCCACGCCCTACTTCCAGAGTGAGGATTTCCACCACTCTCCCCAGCCTCCGGCGTCTGACATCTGCCAAGTCACAGAAACACACAAAGAAGCTTTTCAAGCAAGTTCAGGTTGGAATTTCCAAGCAGCTAAGGACTAGCAGGGCCCGGCGGCTGATTCGGCGTGCGCGGCTACTCGGGGGTGTGTGGTAGCCGAGGGCCGAGTCCCTCTGTCAAGCTCAGAGCCTTCGCGTTGTCAACTTGTTATTTACTTTCCAAATCTGAATGACTGAGCAAGGCGAAAGGAGAATCAATCAACCACAATGTGACCCTCCAGGCGGAAAAAACGCCGCGCTCCTGCCAGCGGGCGGAGGGGGAGGGGAAGCACGTGTACGCCGGGCGGGTTGCATCAGGAGCCCGCTCGGGTTTTCTATTGCACTCTTCGTTTGTCGATTGCATGTAATACCTCAGCTTCAGTCTGCACAAGCCCGGGAGCACCGAAGGGTAGGCTCAAGGGAAGGCCCCACCAAGTCCTTTTGGAGGGTCATGAATGGCAACTGATACTTAATAAGACATAATGTGTTCTGCCGATTCACAATTATGGAGACTGTGTAAGTGTGTATTTTTTCTTGATGTGCTCTAATAATGGTGTAGCAACAGTCGTTTGACATCATTGACGTTTTACAGCAATATTTTGCAGGGTAATTTTTTGGTCCGCCCTTTTGATGGAGGATCGGCCCCTTAAAAATTAACCGCGGGTCCCCCGCCTCCCGACAGACAGCAAGTAGAACAACAAACGGTGTAGTGTTCAAGGCTGGAGCAAGTGAGGTTAGAGTTTAAATTGCTGAGTGTACCGGGCTCCTAGCACTGAGCTCCTTATTACCAAAGGGAGGGGCAAACTTCTGAAAAAAATATTCGACGACCGACCCCGAAGGTGCTGGGAGGGGAGCGGATATTTGTTTAATTGAGTTAAGGCGGGGAGGGGGGCAGCGGTCACCGACCGGAGGGGAGGCCGGAGCGCTGGGACTCGGGTGCCCCGGGGCTGGACCCTCCCAGCCCTTGCGGCGGGAAACACTTTGCCGGTGTCCGCGGTGTGAGGCCTGGGCCAGGGGCTGGGGGCGTGGACGCCCCGGGGTCCCCAACCTCCTCCTCCCGAGCCCCTCCTTTCGAGCTTCGGGGCCCACCCGTGTGTGTCTGCCCTCCCCCAAGTGTTTCTGGCTGTCGCAAAGGTCGAGGCTCTTGCTGAGCCCCCATTTTTGGGGATGGGGTAAAGACCCTTGGGGTGTCTCTAAACCGCCGCTTTCGTGGGAGGTGCACGCTCGAGCCAAATTCAGGGGCTCGCTTGGGGCCTGGGGCGGCTGCTTTTCTCAAGTGGGGGAGGGTAAGCCTTTAGAAGCGCTTTACCCTTCCCCCCACTTTACCCTGGAAACCGTAGGGTGGCCCGGGTCCCCTTCCCCTAGAGAAGCGTGCACTGGCTGAGTTTGGCGCTGGGTGTGTGTGTGGGGGGAGGCTCAGTTCTTCTCCCCACCTTCCCCCCTGGACACCTCTGGAAAGGGCCAGGGGTCGGAGCCCGGAGGGGGCCAGGCCCAAGGTTGGGTGGGGGACTCTGTGGCTCTCCCCCCCCGGGCCCCGGGACTGGACGCGGGTCCTTTCCGGAGGTCCTGGGCCGCGTGGGGGAGGGGCTGCGGGGCTGGGACGCGGCCCCCCAGGGCGCAGTGGACGGGGACCCCGGCGCGGGCAGGGCGGGCCCTGTAGTCCCCGGTCGGGTCTGCGCGCTGGGCGGCCGCTCCCCCGAGGTAGCCACTGCCCGAGCGGCCGCCCCGCCCCC